TAATGTTCGATGAGAATCCACTGAAGTTAAATGATTTGTAATGTTCGAACTTTGTAAAGGTCCCTGCTCAAATATCTTAAGTTTATAACACACTGTCTATAGCGAACTAATAATAGATACTCCCTTTGGCGCAGCTCGTTGGTTATATTTATAAGCGTGTGGAGAGGCTTTCTAGAAATTTCAGTTTTACGTAACAATACTGACGCTAACACAAGTATTTATGTACATACATATATTGTTGATTCTTACTCTCGAGAATCTTCTATCACTTTGGAGAATAGGCAGGAGTTTCGCAACACATATTTAACACTATAAGCTATTCATGTTTCTAAATATAAATTTAATCCAAACAAACGTTTATATTAAAATAAATATATAACAAAAAATTCGTTACACTAGCTACAGAATATATTACCTTAAACGTATTGGTGGCATCAACAAAGGTTGCTCTGCCAAAACCATTACCACTATTTATAAAGCATACATTAGACCCCTTTTCGAGTATGGTGATGCAGTAATGTGTAACATGACTGACAACTAATATAAACGAATACAGAATCTCCAGAACACAGCAATCAAGATAGCTCACAGGCTCCCTAATTACACTCTTCCTGAATACCTCCATTCACTAGCTGAGCTACCCATCTTAAAAGAACGCTTCATTTAATTCGCTACCCGATATTACAAACACAAGAATTTGCACTAATCACGACCACTCCAGCCTCGTGGGCTACATATATATCCCCCTTTAACATGATTACCAATATCACAAGGTAAGTTAATTTTATTTAGCTCCAGTTTTGTATATATATATGCATTGATCCACCATTTCATTTTCAGCTATGAGCACTGGGCAGGTATATTTATTCGGCACCTGCTCAGTGAAAGTGGTTTTTCTCGGGTACTCCGGTTTTACTCACATCAAAATTTCGGCTATTGGATCTATGGATCTCAGGCCCTGAGAAGGACTGCATTCAGTATGCTTAATTCTTAAAATCATTGATATCCTGTAAGCCTAATCTAAAAATTTTGAAAATTTAAATTTTATTATCTTCTTCCAATGTAAGTTTACTAATGATTTTAGTTCAATGCTGGATTTTTGGGTGAATTTGACATCAACAGGAATTTTATGTTTCATGGCAAGTTTTGTCCAAGTGTTGGTTGTTTTTCAGCTGATGTCAGGGATAAATGGTAAACTGCAGTGTAAAGTTGTGTTGTTTTTTGATGTATTTGTGTCACTTTTGTTTGTGAGTTGAGTTTTGAGGTTTTTGTTTTGATGGTTGTATAGCCTAGTTTAGAATGGTTGCCTCGTAAATTAAGTATGACTGATGCCCTGGTGCTACCAAAAGTGTTTGCCCTTTCACCTTTAAGGGCATCATAATATGTCATGGTCACTCCTACTATTCGCTGGTAAAAGATTAGCCCAAGAATTGTCAATAGGTGCTGCCAGCCAAACTGCTTCATTACGGACTGTGTTAGAGCAGATAGCTTTAATAGCTCTGTCAAAACTCAAACATAAATAAAAATTCTCTGCAGCAGAAAGGGCTAACATGTCTGTTGGTAGCAGGAATTGAACCGGAGAGTTTTGAATGACAAGGCAACAACCCTAACCACCGAAACATTCAAGTCCAAAGCTGAACAAACTGAAATTAATCGAAAATATAATAACCAAAAAACATAAAAGCAATATTTCAATTACTTGTGTAGTTGTGATAATTAGAAATAGCAATAATCAGAAACACTAATTTCGATTAATTGATAACTTTCCTAATTCATAACACTTGTTCCCTGAACAAACTTGAATTAACCAAAAATAACAATGAGAGGTCATTAGTATAATACTTAAGTTACTTAGATAATTGTAATAATTAGAAACACTAATTTTGATTAATTATTTTTGTGGTATTAATCGATGTTCATAGGTAATCAAATTAATTGCCGAGCTCTACATTTTACAGTGAAATTTAAGTTTACATTTTTCCCATTATTTAGATATACGTGTGTCACTCTCAGAATACTAAAAATAACACTTTTTTTTCTATTTCAGCTCTTTGGAAATTTGTTTTCTGTGTCAGTATTCTGTATGAATTAGCATTAATCTTTATTTTGTTTCAGGTAAGTTGAAGTAATAGTATTTGTAAAATTGTAATGCTATAAATAACATCGTGTAAAAATTAATTTGCTTATCTTTAGACATCAGTATTAGGCCCATTATATTTTTAACAGTGCAATATATATCTTGTCCCTTTGGGATTTTCAAGAATTAGAAGTCTATAATAATAGTATTTCAGCCACCATATATTCGCTGTATCTATTGCTGCCAATGTGTTTCGCTCAATCCAGAGTTCATCAGGCTGGCAGAGACATAACAAACACAATAGTGACTAGAACACTATTTATATAAGCCATATTTTACAACAAAAATTATTATTGTTTGAACGCCTTTTCTAAGATGGCAAAGTATGATTATAATTAACGTACTTGTCATTTAACATTAGTATTAGGCTTATTATATTGTCCCCAGTGGCTCAGTGATAATTCTGAAGGTTTATAAAGCTAAAATTCGGATTTCCATACCCGTGGTTGGTACAGCACAGGTAGTTCATTGTGTAGTTGTGCTTAACTACAAAGAAACAAATAAACCTGTTGTATTTTTGTTTTAACAAATGGCTTATATAGTGGTCCGACCAATACTGATTGAGGGAATTGCGTCGTCAGCAATGGATACAGCAAACATAGTGTGGTTGGAATACTGTTATTACACACTCTTCTAATTCTTGAAAATCCTTAAGTGACTAGATGTAGAATGTAGTGTTAAAAATATAATAGGTCTAATACTAATTTCTGATGACAAGTCAATCAAATATAATCATGCTTCGCCAGCTTGAAAAACATTCACTCCATAACAATAGTGTAAAAACATTATGTGAACGTCACAGAATCACTAAAGAGTACAAATGTTTCCACTACAAAATAAAGTAAGAACTTCACAGGTGCACATTTGTGTGTTCTGTGATTAAGCTTTAGGAATATGGTTATATATAGAGAAAAATGTTATTCTGAAATATATATTAACTCGAAAATTAATATTATTGAAACATATTTATGTATGCTATACATAGTGTAAATTGTTCAGGTTAATATAATGCTTAATATTTTTAAACTTTGTTGAAAACCTTTTTACAGAATTGCACATTTTTCTTAACTAAAATAAATTGTGTTCACATGATAGAAGTTTTGATATCTAAAATGCAATCATAATAATTTTATGATGTCTTCAGTCATTAGTCAAAGACAAATACAGTTAAAACCGCATAGGCAACTAAAATATCAAAATTATATAATAGGTTGAACAATCACCAAGTTTTTTTTTATTATTATTAAAAGAAGGATGACATTTCGAGCTAGCGCTCTTCATCAGATCGTATAGCTTACAACCAAGTTCAACCTATTATTTAATTTTCAGTCATTACTCAGTTTTATGAAATATAAGTTTAAGATCTTTAGGACGTTTGAGCTTGCCATTCTTAGAATAACAACTATATTTTAAAAAAAAGTTCAATGTCATATAATACCAAAATTCTTCCAGTTAACCTCATAATGGTTAATAGTTGTATTACTAAGCAATTTTTGTATTCATTTAAAAGGTTATATGCTTTAAACCATTAAATAATTTCACAAATCTTTGAGCTATGGAAAATATATGTTGTGAATTTTATTTTTTTTAGCATCCAGATGATGCTCGAACATTATTAAAACATATTGACAAAGATTTAGGAAAGCCTCTAGAAGAAAGAGATTATGGTGGAAATTGTTTAATCTATGATTCCACTTTTCCTGAAGATCCCTGGCATAATGTTTGGGTAAGATTTCTTTCATAACTTACAGCTTGAAGGTGTAGGATACATTAAGAAGATATGAAATGAAACTTTAAAAATTATTTAGAAGATCCTTACAAATTTTATCATTAATTGTGCATAATTAATCTTAAAATATCAGAGTCATCACAGTATATTTATGTATTGTAATTTAGCATTCTTGTACTTTCACATCTTTGTGAATTATATGTATATGTGTGTATATATATATATATATTACTTTTAAAAACCTCACAAAATATGTACTTTTCAATGTATGTATTTGATTTTCATAGGATAAATTGGATATTTTTGTACCAACACATTTCCTTGGCTGGTGGATAAAAGTAAGTTAAAAGATTAGATTGTGTTTTGTAATTTTTAAAGGAGAAAAGTGATTAAGCCTTTATCATCTATTTGGCTTGCATCAAGTCCTGTATTTAGTGGTGTAAGTAGCTGGAACTAATTGCAGCAGTTCTAACAGTTAATGTTATTATTAGTTTTGTAGAATTATTTTAGTTTTTGTACGAATATTTTTGTGTTAATTGTCAAATTACTGATCTGTTTTTATACCATTCACATTGGCAGTAGATTCACAAAGTCTAATAATGAAGATGAAAACAGTTGACAAAACACAAAACATTTTATTTACAAGGTTCAAAGTTTTGGAATACACCTATTCCATCTTCAGCGAAATCTGCAAATAGTGTTACAAAAATATTTATTAACTCATGCAATAGTATAATGAATTACTAGTTTACTTATGATGTTAGAAAAACACTCAGGTTCGAGAAGTCTTGATGTAAATGAATACAAACCCAACAAATTTAGCGCTTTCAAAAGGTGGACCTTCCTTCTTCAGGGTTTTTATTCATTACTAGTGTACTTAGATATTGAATAAAGTGGTAAATGCAAGGGCAAAAACAAGCATAAGAAAAACAGATTATAGAATGAAGAAACTTAGCTGAATGGACGGCAACTGCGTGTGTAGGGGACGACGTTTCGAAAGTCTTTCGCCTGTCGTCTTCAGGTCAGTGTGTCAATTAAACAATCTCTTGATAGTAATTTTGATTTAAAATTCAAGGCCTGAAAGATAATCACGGGCACTCAGAAACTTTGTTTCTCTTCTCCCTGCTGGTGGAATTAACAGTTATTCTTTAAGTGAGTTGCTAATGGCCGAAAGTTTAACTGACTAATAAAGTTTAACTGGCGGAGTGTGACCGTCGTTAGCACATGGTTAGTGGATTAATGTGCAGTGAGTGTGACTAATGAAGTTCCTCAAGACATCCGGGAAACCTGCGAGTATCGCAGGCTGAGGGCAGGAAGTAGCACAGCAAGAAGGAGAGGTTGTGAAAAAAAAATCTTGAAGACTGGTGATTCTTGAACAAGATTGTGACAAAGATGGCAAGTTCTTGAATAATGACTGATCTGAAACACTGGTACTAAGTCATTAATTGAAATTTTGATGGGTGAATGGACTGTAAAGTTAAAGTAGGATAATAAGTTCCATAAAATCAGGATACATTTTTAGAGTTTTGTTGTGAGTCTTGATATCACAACAAGACTTTACAATAGTTTAAATTAGTAAAGTATGCAAGTGAAAAATAACAGAAGTTGTAACTATGTGGAACGGCTACTTTCTACGGTTGGAATCATAGGCTCCTACAGGGAAAATTTTGTTGGGGGGGGAGTACCCCGAGAAAAACAACTTTCACGGCCAGGACGGCGAAAAGAATGCCCCTACCGTGCCCGATGGAAGCTGGAAGGAAAATAAAACACACGTTAGTATACATTAGGTATAATAGAGCATTTTAAAACAGACTTGGCTGTTTAGAAGTCGATGGTAAGGCTGGAAAAGTTTAGTAGTAGTCATCTTCGAAGACTGGTTCTACGTCGGAGTAAAAATGTTGAGAACACGGGAACTGGTAGTGGTCAAATTCAGAATCGGTTCTGTATTCATAGGGTGAATGAGACTGTCTGAATAATGAGCGAAGGAATCTGCGAAAGTCGTCGACAGGCTGTTCTTCTGTCTGGGTTCTCCTGGCTTTTTCGTAGATGTGTGTCTGAGTTTCACGGGTCTTCGTTTGGAAGGAGTCAGTTGATGTTCAAGAATGGTTTAGTGATACTTGAGTCTGTGTGGATTGAGACTTCCATGTATCCTTCTTTGCAATTGGGGTCTGGGATTGCTTGCTGGTATTTGCTGGATGCTCTGGAGGTTTGGCTGGAAAGACAGTAGAAGGTTGAAGACATCATCCTGGTTTTTCTGTTCTAAAATAGAAAAGTAGAAAAAGCCATGAGTGAGAATATGTTCAGCTGTAGATTTGGAAGTTGTTACAAGCTTGACGTAGTTGGTCGTGTTTCTGGCGTTTATACGATGAACTGCGTGAATCGAGTAGCCAGGCGTAGTTTGTAGAACGTAGTTTATATCTCCAGGAGAAATTGACTGGTGACGCACCTAAGTAAGACAGGCAAAAGTTGTGAATTAGTTCATGGAGGATAACAGACAACTGAAGTAGTTGAGTTCCATGGGGAACGGAGATAGGTTAAGTCACTGGGAGTAAGGGGTTGAATAAAAATTTTGCCTCTTGGTAGGAGTCTTGTTTTCGTAGGGTCGATGGCGGCATTGGGTTTGTATTTTCTCAGGAAAACAGTAATTCGGTTAAAGGAGAAGTATTTAGGAATCCCATCGATAAAGCATGAGTGGGTTGTTTTCCCATGGAACGACTAATCACTTAATCATGGCTCAGAGTCTAAGCAAGAAATCGAAAAATGGTCGAATCAGGTCAGTGTGTGCAATCAAGTCCAATCGTGATAAGTATTTAGGCTTAATAACCCAGGAGTGGTCAGAAATTAAAGTTATTTCTCTTCGCCCCTTGATTTTAATTAATTATTAAATTTTAGATAACACGCAAGTGCTGTTCGTTTACATTTATATATTCCAAAATGTTCGAATCTTTTAAATAAAATGTTTTGTACATCATACTGAATAAATTTTATGTTTTTGCCTGTTGCAACCCAGAATTGAAATTCAATATGAATATGATGAAAACATTTAGAGCTATACCCGTTTTCCTCATCTTTGTTAGACCTTATGAACTTCCTTGCTTTAATATTTTACGTCTGTAGTTCGGCCGAGTCAAATATGATTTTCATACATCTTTTTTTTAGACTGACAAGCTTTCACATGCAATTGAACTAAAGATAGTACATGATTTTATCTATGAATGTATTGGTATATCTCTATTTCAGTATTGTAAATTTTGATATGATTATTTCACTTTTGAATTGAAAAGGTTACTGATATTAGGTTTTTTCCTGGAATTTCAGACTCTGATGTTAAGAGACTGGTGGCTATGTACAGTAATTAGCATCATGTTTGAAGTGCTGGAGTACACACTAGAGCACCAGCTTCCAAATTTCAGTGAATGTTGGTGGGATCATGTACGTTTTAAATTGTATGTACTAAAACAATACATACAAGGTGCTCCAGAAATTGCCATTTTAAATTTATTATCACCTTTCATAAATAATGAATTTCATGACAATTACAGCAAAAGATTTATGATTTTGTGATATTTAATATACCCTAACTTATGGTTTCCTTTCATTTTGTATCCAGCATTCAGTAAAGTTTAACTGCAAGTTATAAAATTATGAACTGGAATAGTTTTAGGCCTCAACCTAAGAAAGTATTTATTTTGTGCTTTAATGACTTCTGTTTACATTACCATGACATAATATATATCACTTTAACTATTATCTTGAGGTGTTTTCCACAGTATGAATTACTTTAAAGCAAGAAAATGTTGTCTTTTCTATATTATTCTAAAATTGTTAAAGAAACCATTTGTGTTACAGCTTTTGTTCCTTACAGTGGATCTTGGATGCACTGGTTTGCAATGGACTTGGAATCTATTTTGGAATGAAGACTCTTCATTACTTATCCATGAAGCCTTATCACTGGCGTGGCTTGTGGAATATACCCACATACTGTGGTAAACTCAAACGTATTGCAGCCCAGTTTGGTCCACATAGTTGGACTGATTTTGAATGGAAGCCTACTATTACTCTGAATCGATGGCTTTTTGTCTTAGTCATGATTTTTGTTGTAAGTGTAAAATTATACACATTTAATTTGGCTTTGTTTTAATATTTAATGAATCCAGTTGGCAGGAAGTCTTGAAAAAAATTATGTTCTCCTATACACACAGAAATATTTATATTTAGAACCACAAATTCTAAATAAACATTTACACACAAAAATTAGATACAGAAACAATTTTAAGTGCTCAGTAGCTTTAAAAATGGCCATAGTCTGTTCCCAATTATCGTTGTAATATTTTGTCATTTCTTAGTTCCACTGACATAACAATCACCTTGAAAAACATCAAAGAATTATTAATACAAATTTGAAAAATTGCATTTCACCTTATTTCAGCTCAATTTTTACTATCTTGATAGAAATATTTTGAAAGGTGGACCTTTCTTCTTCGGTGACATTCTTAGTTTGCCCCTGAAGAAGAAAGGTCTACCTTTCAAAAGTATTGTGGTTAAAGGGTATCATATTTTTGTGTTAAATTGATTTCTTGAACCTATGTGTTTTCCTAACATTATTGATAGAAATATTATAATGGGTCACTGAACATTACAACAAATAATAACAGTTCTTTGATAATATCCTAAGAAGACATTACAATAGCTCCTTTCACACTGAAAACACCAATTGAATTGTTGTTGCTTTCATTTGTTACAAATATTTAACTATAGAGTGATTAGAGAATGCACTGTCACCTCTGAAAATGGTGGTCATCAGTTAGTACCCACCCCAATTAAAGCTTTAGTGCTGAGCAAAAACAGAATTGCCAGAATATATAGTTTTTTCAAAAAGTTAGCTTTGATTCTTTTATGTTAATAAGTCTATACCCACAAGATTGATAAAGTTAGTAATATGCTTTTAGCTCTTATATCATTTTAACTTGTAACCTATGAGAAGAACACTGCTACTTACTTTTCCACAATTAATTGATCAAAATAAGAATTAGTGTCATACAACTGTTCCAAAGAAGCAGCCTGTGTGTGTGCCTTTCATTATTTGTCAAGAGAATTTTCAAATAGCCATTTACAACTATTAACAAGCTCACACACAAAAACAAAATTTCTTATTCACACTTTTATTTGATATTCTAATATGCAGATTGTAACAGTAAGTGTAATTTTCATAAAACATGTAAGTATAAATAAGAACATAATAGGCCTTGTACTTAACAGAAAAGTAATGAACAAAACAAAATAGCTTGAGACTTTTGAGTTCATGATTCACCATGAACAAATACCAACATGGTGGGTTCAGTGAGTGATACATTTTGCTTAGTATCAGTTCAGTATTTATAGATAAAAACATTGAAAGACAAGAAACATTGAATAAACTTTCTTAATTTAGAAAAAAAAATTATTTATACTTCTTATCAAAATTATTTTGAAAATTTCCTAATTATTTAAAATGATGTATTTTCCTTCAGTTTCTAGTGTCTGAATTGAATACATTTTACCTGAAGTTTGTTCTTTGGCTTGAGCCACCACATTTCCTCAACCTAGTACGACTAATTTTTATGGCATTGGCAGGAGCTGTTGCCATACATGAAACCCTTCAGTATCTTGATGATCCGTAAGTTATAGTCAATCAATTACATTTTAATAACACTTTGACTATCTTTTATTTCCCGATCGTAACACAACAGGATCTTCCGCTTTCTTAATGCATTACACACTTCTGTCATTTATTTCTTTAATTCTCTAAGGTCTTTCAATTATGGAATCTACCATATTTAGGTCTTATAATTCCTGAACATTTTGAGTTTAACTTTTTAATGGGTCTTTTGGTTTCCTAACATTGCACTCCTGTGTCTCATACTCTCTTAATCTTAACAATTTTGGTCTTGTATTTCATAAATCTAACACTTCCTGGTCTTTTACTGCTTCAATCTTGTATGCAGATTTGACCACAACATTCGTGAGTTTTATACACCTGTAATGTATGTATTATACTATGGAAACTTAGCATTCTTGGCTGAGTTTTGTCTTGCTTTAATATAGCACATCTTAGAGGGACTGCAATTCCTTAACAGATCTCATTAAAAGAAGCACAGGTGGGTTCTTTATCTTGTGAACCTAGCACTTTTGGATTTTATGCTAACTATAACTTAACATTTCTAAGTCTGGTATCTTTACTGCATACTATTTTTGGTTTTTACACTTCTTGTATCTAACAAACCTGGGCAATGCCTTTCCCTTATTTTAGCACAATCTGACTATTTTTAATTCTAAACCTAATATTTATGAATCACATTCTACTGTAACTAGCTTATATACATATCTTATACTTATCGAAATAGCCACTCGTGTGTCCTGTACTTATTTTATTGAACCTGATATTTCTGGAGTAATTTGTCTCTAAATAGTACTCTTGAATCTTGTTCTTTATCCTAACACAACAGGGTTTTCTACTTACTTTATTTAGCACACCATTCTCTTACACTTTTCTTAGTACTTCAGAACTTTAGCCTAATGCTCAAAGTATTGTACTTTTATAACCATTGCATTTAGGTCTTATAATATTTGAATCAACAAATAAATGTGAAGATCCACCCTTGTCAATTAGCTACATACTGTAGTAGTGTAGGTTTATAAAGAGGTATGAGTATGTATATTAAAACCAATTTGAATATGCATATCAGGAAGTCATATGACAAACATAGCCATGTAAAGTTGTGGTAAAACAGCATGTATATGAAATACATTTGGGAATGGTATACAACAGCACTTACTGTTGCAAGATATTCATACACTAAAATCATAAAGATGTGTTCAGATCATGGAATTAGAATTGCATAATTAATGACACTGAGGAAAAAAAAAGGAATATGGATTAACTTGAGACACCAGGACCACCCAGAAAGTTACCTCCAACAACTCATACCTCAGCCATGGTAAAAGAAGTGTTGTATCTTTTAACACGTGAGAATCTATGAACACAAAATTCTGTGACAAAAGCCATCCACATGACCAAGGTATTCATACTATTCTGTATTAAAACAAGTTGCTAGACACAGCAACTGTGGATTTCTGTCCAATAGGATTATTGAAATGGTTGCTTGTAGATAATCGTTTTTGTGTACTAAATGGATTATAGAAAGCTTGCATGAAGCATTTGTGTACATTGGACAATACAGTCTTACAACAGAAACTTCTGCAGTGAAAACTATTGCAGTGTGTAACAAATTTGTTATGTATTTATTTTAATATGAACGTTGTTTAGATTAAGTTTATATTTAAAAACATGCATAGCTTGTAGTGTTTGATACGTATTGCAAAACTCCCACCTATTCTCCAAAGTTATAGAAGATTCTCAAGAGTAGGAATCAACAATATATCTATATACGTAAATGTTTAAATATAATTCAGGATTTTTATGTAATCTGAATTTTCTAGAAAAACCATCCCACACCTATAAATACAACCAACGCGATGCGCCAGAGAGTGTTTGTTAGTAATTTGCTAAAATCAGTGTGCTATAAACTTCGAAAGCTATAACTGTGATTTTTATAATGCTTATCAATCGGAAAAAGATATTTGACCAGGAATATTTATAAA